GAAGTATGTTTCCGCCACGGGATAAAAATAAAAAAGGTAATTGCAACTTTTTATCTAACAGTTCTGACATTTTTCTTGCAATTCTGATTTATATCTCATGATTCTGAGGGGGGGGGGAAAAGTCAGAATTGCGAGATATAAACTCTGAGAAGAATTATGAGGAAAAAGTCGCAATTATCTTTTTGTATTTTTTTTTCTCATGGATGAAAAAAAAAATAAAAAATCTGAATTTTGAGATATGAAAGTCAGATTTCTGAGTTTATATATGAAATGCAAGAAACAAAGTCTGATTTGTGAGATGAAAAAGTCACAATCATCTTTTTAATGTTTTATTCTGTGGTGGAAACAAGCTTCCATATAATACAGTATGAAAACAGGAGAGAAAAATAGAAACACTTTAGCATCTATGGAAAGCATCTGAAGAGTTTGGTTCCAAAACGCTATAAAGTTATTTTTCATATTGAAACTGTTGAAAATACACAACATAGTAAGTTGATCCACATAACAGCCTCTGAACTTGGTCAATACTAATCTTATTAATAGCTTACGTTTCTTCCCCACCACAGGTTCATCAATGCCGTCAAAATTATCCATTTCTCTTTTATGCCAAAAATCATTAGGATATTAAGTAAAGAAGTCAGAAAGAGCTTTATTGCCAAGTATGTTTGCGCATACAAGGAATTTGTTTTAGTGTCACAAGCTCCCAGTACACAGAGACAACAACAACACACAGACAATAAAAAATAAGATATGTTATTATGTTATAAGATACACATATGTGACCCTGGAGCACAAAACCAGTCATAAGGGTCATTTTTTCTGAATAAATAATCTTTCCATTGATGTATGGTTTGTTAGGATAGGACAATATTTGGCTGAGATACAACTATTTGAAAATCTGGAATCTGAGGGTGCAAAAAAATCTGAATATTGATAAAATCATCTTTAAAGTTGTTCAAATGAAGTTCTTAGCAATGCATATTACTAATCAAAAATTAAGTTTTGATATATTTACGGTAGGAAATTTACAAAATATCTTCATGGAACATGATCTTTACTTAATATCCTAATGATTTTTGGCATAAAAGAAAAACCCATACAATGTATTGTTGGCTATTGCTACAAATATACCCCAACGACTTAAGACTGCTTTTGTGCTCCAGAGTCATATTTTTCAACACAGTGACTAAACTGTGTTTGTGTTGTAGACTACTGATGTTTGAGCAAAATATTATTTAAATTAAGGTGCTTTATTGGCATGACAAATAATTTTACATTCACATTGCCAAAGCATTTTTAGCTCTGCTGCGTACAGATAAAATAGTGCAAAATAACAATGAAAAACAGTGTGATTGGCAGAGAAATCTAACGGGAAGACAGCAGTAAATGAATGGCGTGTGTGTGTGCAGTGTTCCTGCAGGATCTGGAGGGGGTGTGTGTGGGTTTGTGGTCTGCGGGAGTGTGTGTTGTTGTAGTTTACGTTCTGCTGGCAAACACAGATCTGTTTCTGACCAAACCGGACCGGACGTCTCTGCACAGACTGGCCAGCGCCGAGCTCAGATCCACCGCTGGAGGTCAGAGATCACAACATCTCATTCACATTACAGCCGGCCGTTCACAAACGTTACAGTTTATTTCAGCTGCTTTCACACATTTTCAAAACTTTGCCTCTTTTTTTCAAACCTTCACACACAAATCCAAGAACTGCACACAAAATGCAAAAAGTCTCTCATCTCTTGCAAAACCAAGCACTGCATTCAAAA